ACCACAGTGGAGCACCAGGAGATGGTCTTATAATTAAGATGTGTACATGTGTCGTTGTGTCTTCTAAGAGAAACTCCACGCTTCCTAAGTCAGGCTCATCAAATGCACCTGAGTGCAGGCAGATTAGGTATAGTTACTTGATTCATTTTCTAAGTTATTTATTTTGGTTTTTTTGAGTTTATAGTATAATTATATTATCCCCTCTTCCCTTCCCTTCCCTGCTTCCCAAACCCTCCCACATATCCCTCCTTACTCTCTTTCAAATGTATGACCTTTTTTCATTAATTGTGGTTGTACATACATAGATTTATGTACATATATATTCTTAAATATATAAATACAACCTGCTCATTCTAAATAATGCTACTAGTATGTATGTTTTCCATGATGACCACTTGGTATTGGCTAACCATCTGATGTGCTAGCAGTCCCTGGGGAAGATTATTTCTCCCTCTTTTAGTATTCCTTAGTTGCCTATAAGTTTTTGTGGAGGGTTGAAGACTCACAGGCTTTTCTCTGTCCGCTTTAGCATTTCTGTTGTCCTCCTTGTTCAGTGGATGGCTAGGTAGTCAGGATTTATTCATAGTATTTCTAGTCTACTATGTAATATCCTTTTAAAATATATGTATGTGCATTATATAAATATATATAAACATGTGTTATATAGTCAAGTATTATATGGATGGATGTGTGTATAACACATATAGAAACACACACATATATATGAATATACATACATACATGAATATTACATAAAATATCCACACAAAGCATTATAAAGGTGACCATTTTTTTTCTCATTGAACCTTTTTAATTGAATACATTTAGTAACATTAATGGATACATAATTAGTATTTTGAGTTTCATTGGCATCATGGAGATATAATAAATAGATATCTTTTACAGCCTTGTGGTCTTTTGGAATATCTAGGTCTTTACTAGGAGCAGAAATCTGTTGATTTTTAAACTACATGTAGTTAAAGAAATTAAATAATAGCATTATTAAGTGATTTCCTGTTGCTATTTCCCTCATGAGCTAGGCACATATCTGTGGAGCAGGTGGCTGCCCAGGCATGAGGCTGAACCAAGGAGTCATGGCAGAGTTAATGCATGCTTGTGATATGACTGAACCAAGGAGTCATGGCAGAGTTAATGCATGCTTGTGATGTGGCTGAGTGAAGCTGTTTTACTAAAACTGTGCAGTCTGAAGAAAGCCACTTCTTTCTGCAAAATTAAGACAATTCACTTCCTTTCTGGGTGATCCTAATTCTATTTATATTAAAGTTAAGATTTTTTTAAATATAATTAACAGGTTTGGGCAGGTTTTTGTTTGGGATTGCAAAGTACTCAAGAATAAAGTGGACAACATTAATTCTTTCATGTGAGTTTCATCAGATAACTTCACTTTGGTTAGTGAAAATGGAAATATCTCCTTTTTATTATTAATGAAAGCCTTCTGCCTGCTTTCTAATTTCATCACCTCTGAAACACTCCCAAGTTCTTCAAGATAAAGTCAAATAAAGAACAAAACAGCCTACCTCATGGCTTTGGATCTAAAATTTCAAATTAGTTCAGTCTTTAAAACTTTTAGAGTTCAAAAGTTTATAATGATCACAGGCCTAAAAGACGGTCTAGTTGGTAAAGTGTCTTCCCTACAAGTGTGAGAGGCTGAATTTGGATTCCACGTACTCCCATTGAGAGAGAGAGAGAGAGAGAGAGAGAGAGAGAGAGAGAGAGAGATCACCTCAGCAAGCTCCAGCAATCTCAGAGCTCAAGGGTGAGATGGGCTCTGAGGTGACTGACCAAGGCCAAGCAGCCTACCCAAAGCTTGTTCAGTGAGAGACTGTGTCAAAAAAAAAACAGAGGGCAATTTAGGAGGTCCCTAATATCTACTTCTTGTTTCCACACACTTGCACACATGTGTACTGGCGCACTTACATATACACACATACTTGCCCGTGTGCATGCACACGCACACATACACATAAATAAACACACACAGTTGAGATTTCTTACACTAAGTGCAGACAGGCGCCAATGAAATTGTGCAATAGAAGGGAGAGTGTTCACTCTGACAAGAACCTTTGCTAATGGTGAAATTTGAATTGTGAGAACCCTAGGTGTCCTCGGGTCCTTTTCCTTGAGGAATGTGATGAAGTGTTGTGACAGTCCACCAACTCTTTGATTTCGGTGGCAGCATGGCAAAGTAAGACATTTCAAAACGGCCAGCTCTTCAGGCCTGTGCTGAGCCTTGTCATCTTAGCAGTGCAGACAGTCCATACATGGGGGAGGGTGTATGGCA